CCCATGCATGCGCTGTACAAGCAAAACAGCTGTTCAGTCTTCTGATTTCCTCTATAACTAGGTGCTTAGAGAAGGGCTAGCTGGTGAGCAGCAAGAGAGCACAATCTCACTGCTATTTCATCAATATGTCTGTACAGAAATGTGCAAATAAATATGCCAGCATCTTCTGCATCCGTGCCTGGGAGTGCAGAAGTAGCTGTTAGTAGTGCCAGGCTCTGATCGGCCGCGGAGGCGGGGGACAAGCACAACCGTGTTAAACTTGCATTTTCTTCCACCAGTTAGAAGGAAATTCTGAGCAGCTGACTTGTGTTTTGTTTCATCAGGAAATATTGGAGGAAGTTGTAAGAGAGTTACACAAAGTGAAAGAGGAGATAATTGATGGTAAGAAAGAGAAAAATTATTATTTTTCTCATCTTTATGACTAATTTCCCATAGATAAGATGACAGGAACTGCAGAGAGTTCCCTGGTGTTTTCAGACTTCTCTGAGCAGCTCTGATTTATACACACATTTGAAGAACAAGCATCTACCTTATCTGAGCTCTGACCATAACATTGTGTTTACATCCTTTATTATGCTGTTGATGAGCATTTTTACCACCAACCTATGAGAAATTCACTGGCTGGTGTTTCTCACAGGTGGGAGGGTGAGAAAGGGCCTGCCCGTAGCCCATGGCACATCAATTTATCACAATTAGCAAGCATGAAATCTTGTGACTAGCTGGCCACTCAGGTCTGGGATGAGGAGGGGACAAAAGCAGCTAACTGAAAATCCTTCCCAAAAATCTTCTGTAGGCTTCCTGTGCTTGAAGAGCTAGTTTAGACCTTCATTTGGTTACAGCTTTCCGAATAGCCATGCATTTTTATAATTCATTGAAAAATACAGCAGCTGTACCAAATGTATCAGCACTTTTTTTATAAATTGCTTTGCAATATACAACTGAAAGTATTTTTCAGGGCCACTGTTGAAATGCTCAGTAAAATTCCTATTTGAAGCCCACACTAGGGCATATGAAGGATGCATGTCCACACACTGTACTCCCCACCTTAGATTACACAGAAGGGAAAAAGAGGAGACTGTAAAACAGCTAAAATCCATTCCCTGTCCCCTTGCTCTAGACCTGTGTGCTCACAAAGCTCGGGGCAGTTTGCAGTTGAAGAGGCCCTTGCCCAAATGCTACCGTCCCAGCAGCTTGGCCCTCAGAGCCTCCCTAGTTCATTCCAGTGCAAAATAAGGCATTCACATACACCACAGATGCAACTTCTTAAAGTAGTACTGCAGTTTGCAAGCCAGCAGCTGACTGCTTACCCTTACTCATCCTTTACCCTCCACTCATCCTTCTACCAGCGTGTACTTTCTGCAACCTCTGTACTTAGCATTTTCCATCACACTGGATGTAACATTATGCACTAACTTTTTGGTTTGGTTTTCTAGCCATACGGCAGGAGTTGAGTAGAATCAGTACAACATAATGATTGCAAAGCATTTGGACGGTACTAAGAATGCTAGGAAGATCGGATCATTTCTAAGTATACCAAGGTCATGCAAGATGGTGAGAGAGGACACCGGCACTGTCTTTGTTCATACACCCTTTTTATTAGCAGACTCAGCACACTTTGAAGCTTGCTGCTGCCTTGGATTCGCTTCATTTTCAAAGTCTTAATCTAAAGATTATTAAATTTTAAATTTTCGGATTTTTTAGATTTCATCTGACACTGCACATTGGATTTGTCAGCCTTTTTTGTATTTTGTATTTGCTTATTTAAATGTATTACCTTTCTTTTTAGTAGTAGATAAGAACACACGTGAACCATTTGCTTTTGATAGGTGACTTCAAAGTAATTTTACTAGTAGTCTGCAATGTAAATGAAGATCCTTTGCCAACAGAAACGTATTGAGGCATCACCAGAAGAAAGAGAGACATGTTTAGTTGTCAGCCAACAAGTTCTTTGTCTCAGAGTTATCACAATATTAAAAAATGGTACGTCAGTGCATCACAGTATCTGTGTTCATATTGGTAATAAACTGTTTATTGTCCACATGGTCCTGCCTTTCTTTGTTTCATTTGTCCCTTGAGCTCCCACACTTCTGTGTCACTTGAGTTGATGGTAAGGGGAAGGTGACTGAGGATCACTGTCGGGTGGCAGCTCTGCCTGGCCAGCGCCGCAGAGCATGAGGAGAGAACCTGAGTGTTTATGGTTGATGCAGTGGCCACAGCCCTGCCTTCTCTCACAGTGAGACGTGGCTCTCACCTGCCCAGCCCTCTTGCACTGCCAGCTGAGCACCACCTCCTGCAGCCAGGCTGCCACAACCTCAGCAACTTCTTGCCAAAGTCAGTGAGGGGCAGTGGCCTACGGCTCTTCTCAGGCCACTACCACCTGTCCCACTGCATCTTCAGCCATCACTGAAAAAAAACACAGGTCCCATCACCTGCACCTCCTTCAGGCTTCCAGTAATAAAAGGGAGGTGTTTATGCAGAACAAGGCTACCAAAGGCATTAGGAGGATGCAGGCTGAAATCATTGGCATGGCACTGCTGACTAGAGGCATAAGGGGAGTAATTTGTTAATCTTGTGCAGGTCTTGAGCATTATCCAAGATATGCATACAGGACACCAAACACTTAACAGTGCATACCCAGTCATATCTTTGAGGTCGTACAGTTTTTTTCTTTACAGCCATTTTTTCCACCAGCACAATCTTAGGAAATTCTGCTTGATTTAGTTTGGCGCAAGCTTTACGTGGCAGTTGTCTTGATACCATCTTCTTGATAACTTTGTGCAAAAGGCAAGAGGTTGGAGTTCAGCTACTGAAGTCTGTCAAATATTTTCCAAGCTCCTTTCCTTGCTTCAGGCTTTCATGAAGATTTTGTTTTAAATCTGTTTAAATTTGTTTAAATCTGTTTTAAATTTGTTTAAAACACCAGAAATGGTTTTGGGAGCAGAGCCTGGTGCAGCAGCCCAGGAGGGGCTATGTTCCACCTGCTTGCGTCCCCCAGGCCTCATGGAGCAGTGCAGCAGGCAGGAGGGACTGCTGGCCAGCTACGGGAGACCCAGGAGAGGAGGCAGGATGGGTTGTGCTTGGTAGTTTGCTGTAAAATGTTACCTGTGTTCTTTTGGGGACCATGGCATGTTCTTCAGTGCTCTTCAAAGCAGCATGATCTGCCTTTTAAAAACGAGTCTTTTTTACAGTGTGGTTATGCTGTAATTAAATATGGGAGAAATGGGAGTAATCTGAGTTTAATGCAATGGTGAGCTCCAGTCTGAGCCTGATGTTTGTTAGATGTTTAATTCCAGCAGAAGGCAAGAGATAGGTTAAACTGGGATAGAGATTTCCACATGGGAACTAAAGCAGGCAGACACCCTTGTGCACAAGAGTATGGCAACCCCAGGACCAAAAGAAGGAGTCTTTCCAGTATGAAGAACACAGACAAGCATCAGTAACAGCAGAGATTAGAACGCTCTGTTGTATAAATCTCTTAGAGTAGCTCATGCATTTACTAATTATGAACCCATTAGTGGCATACCTGATGATGGCAAACCCTTTTCAAAACTGCTGCCTCTAAGATCACAACCATTCTGTGAAACTGTCCCATAATCCTAATTAAGCTGCAGGAAGTTGGTGCCTGGCACGGTTCACATTTTCCCTTGGAATGTGGCATTATGCCTAAGGTCAGTAATAACCATGTTGTAATTTGGGCTGAGGGTGCAGCTTGGATATATTGTGCCCCTCTGTTAACATCAGCCAGCTACTGTAAATGGGTTTTTCTTACTTACTTCCTCCACCTTTGCAGGCCTCGTATAATTAAGACATAATAAGCTGAAGTTTGCACAAGGCCACTTAATAGCAGTGGGAGCAAGGTGTGAGGGGTGGAAGGGGAAGCTTGGCTGACAGGGGCAGGGGAGTAGTCCTGGCATCACAAGCACTGTGCTGGTTCCCGGTGACTTACAACTCCAATGTCAGGGATGCACAAGGTGGCATATTTTCAGTAGTGGCACTGCCAGAGGATTCCCCCCTCCCAGACAGTAATTCAGTTTGCCAGTTGCCTCTGTAGAGAAGGGTGTCCTTTTATAGTGGGCCTGTTGAGCCACTGCTGCAGGGCTGAACAGAGGCATTTTACATAGCACAAATCTAAGGGGAAGTTAATGTCCACTCTGACCTGTCATACAGTTCCTTCTTGCCAGAGCATTAGTGTGCCCACACAGCAAAGGAGATCTGGATCAATTTTTAAGCAAAGGGAATAAAACTATACACAGCCCTGACGTACTTTTTACCCAGACCCTGTGGTTATGGAAAAAAAAACTTCTGCCAGCATCACTGCCTATAGAGAGGACAGGATCACAGCCTTCTCCAGCAGCACCCTCACACACTGGAACTCAGCTCACACTGCACATCTGCAGGCACTGCAGGCACTTCAAATTCCTGCTGAGATGGACAGTGACAATCAGAAGGGCTGTGGGGCTGCCCAGGCTAAGCGAGCTGGGACCATGATGGAAATACTGATGGGAGGCAGGTTAAGAGGCAGTTGACAATTTTGGTTGGCCCCTGTTTACATCACAGCCTCTGTGTCAGGCTAGGCTAGTAATCCATACACCACATAAGTGACTGCATCATGAAACAGCTGAATAAGGGAACTACAGCATAAGGTCACTCATCAAAGAGGATAAGGACAAAAATCACATCGAGAAAGATAGCATAATCTTTATTGTGGTTTTTATATTAACTTGCTAAGTTGGACAAGAGAGTTGAGGAACAGCCGCTAAGGACATGGGAAGTTGAATACCTGATCAGAGTGCCAGCAGCACTGAAGTAAATTAATAAAAAACTGAGGTTCCCTGACATGAGCACTGATACAAATAAGGTAATGGAAGTTCCCACATCAACACCTCTTCCTTTGGGAGAAAAGCAGCTTTAATAATTAAGACATAATGACTTAACTATGTTCGTCACTGAGGAACTAGTGAAGGCTGCAGTGTTCAAAGAAGCCCAATTCTTCCTCTTCTTATCCAAAAGCACAAAGCCATATCTGAATAACTGGTATTCAGCCCTGTATTACAAAGGATCTTGCTCTGCTGAACATATCTGGGTATTTTTTTACCCATTTGCCAAAATCAGATGGGTGAGAAAAATGGAGGAAGGGGAAATGGAGGAGGGGGAACCCAAATTGCAGCAGGCTAGCTTGGCTGTGTGCCAGGCTAGTGAATGGACACTGGCTCACTGGATCCAGTGCTTCTGGAGCAGGAAACAAAATTGTGTTTATTGAGGAAATCAGGCTTTCCAGGTCTAATTGTATACTTTGAGAGACTGATGAGACTGCACAATAATCCTTTTCTTTGTTACAGGCATGGATTTCCAGAAGAAAAAAAAAACTGTTAGAGGGGTAGAAGGCAAGAGCACCTATACAGATCTCTCTTTTAACCACTTAGTAAGGAAAGAAATACTTCACCAGCTTTCCAGGGTGATGAGAAGATACTAGATGGCATCTGAACATCTGAATTCCTGACTCCCAAGATATTGTTCTGCTTGGAGAGATGTATGCTGATTAAGGTTTTTGATGACAGGGAATTATTGAGGATAGCCACAAGTTTATTGTTGGAGAGGACAGGCAGGAAGATTTGTGTCTTCCAGTGGGCAGAAATGACAGATGAAGGTCAATAGCACCAAGTAAGAGATGTAGGGAGATAAGCAGCCCCATCTCTACATTCCATCCTCTTAACACAATCAGTGGCAATTTTATATAGCTAGAGTATCATATGCTTCCCAAATGCCAAGTCAGTGCCCCTTGAATGACAGAGGAAAAAAATTACCATTATTATGAAAGCAGTTAGGAACAAATACCACCATATCATCTCTACATCTTCACTGACACACCTTCCTAAATCCTATGCACAGAGAGGGGTATAATATAGAGGAGATCAAGAAAGGTGATCAGGAGTGCTAACAATCTTGATAAGGAACAATTAAAACTAGAAACTCCATTCCCAGAAGGACTTACAGTGGGGAAATGCATGAGAAACATGAAGTTATGGATACAGTTGAAAAGGTGAATGAGAAAGGACCAGGCAGTTCCTCCAGAGGCACATCCATGCTGCTGCTCAGGGCAGCGGGTGGAAGACTAAAGGAAGGATTTCTCCCTGCCACAGTTCAGATCTGTCAGTTTGCTACAGCGAGTATTAGATCCTCATGGAAATGCATTCAGAAAAGGTTTAGACAAATCCCTGGAATAAAGATCAAACAACAGCTACTAAAATAATGATACAAATATACAAAAATATAAACATATTTCATTGCATATACAAAATCTCTGTTACTAGCAATTATCAGAAGATTATTAGATTAGACAAGACATTGAGCAAAAGGCACCCTTGTGTTCTCCAGAGAGTTTCATTTACTATTGCATGCCAGTCCTCCCTGCTTCCACAGTCCTGTGCATGCAGAGCATCCACTTCTAATCTGGCATGAAGAGAAACTAGTCTTCAACTACACACACGCACATGATCACATGTAACACACAGCAAACATTCTCCACTGCAGACCAGGCCAAAACTCAGGCTTGGGCATGTGTGCCCCAGGAAGTTAATTCAAAGCCTAGACCAAAGGTTCACCTAATCATAATTCAATCTAACCTAGTTTCTGAGGATTACATACACAAACATCCTTTATTAAAAAGTATCAGTGGTCTAAAATAGTGCATTCAATTGCTTAATTATCACACTCATCCTCTTGGTCTAAGCAGCATGCACCAACATTAATTCAGCACACACAGAGATCCTCCTATTTCCGCAGAAAACTGAAGTCATGTGAAAACTGAAGTCATGTGAAAACTGAAGTCATGTGAAAACTGAAGTCAAGTGTGGAAAAACACACCCCACTACCACAGGCGGACCAGCCCATTAGCTTTCCTTTGCCAGCTTGCACCGTCTCTTAACCCTTGAGTAAGGACCAATAGAGTCATCAAAAACAAAGTCCCACAGAACTCGAATCCAGGACTGGTGATGTGGGAGGTTATCATAATATTCCGCTGCAATCTTCTTCACCTGGAAGAAGAAGAGAGAGAACGAGCTGTTTAGTTGCACAGTGTCAGATGTGTTTCAGCCTTCACATTCAGATCTGATAGCACAGCCATAACCTGAAGTTACCTGTTATTGCTTGTGAGCTTCTGAAGTTCAGCCAAATGAGATGTAGTTAAATGCATTTAGATACTTGCAGATTTCTGATGGAAGTTTTGCCTCACAGAGTCAGAATTTGAAAGATGTTGGATCGCTGCCTTCACTCAGAACTATTTTGTCTCATTTTGGAAGTGGTGGGATCTCCACAGTGAGATGCCTTATCCACCTAATCAGTTGCCAAGACTCCAACACACTGTATTTAAAGCCCTGTTTGCCACTTGTAATAGTCTTCTGTTGAGGGTTCTGGGTAAGAGAGAATTACCAATTGAGAAAATACCAGATACAGTCTTGCCTACACTTCATTTTCTTCCCTCTATTTTGCTACTGTGATGCAAATCCAATACAGGTTCCTCCAGCAGGCAGAGGAAATCACAGGGATGGTCTGTTCTCCTCAGTTTGGCATTAAAAATGCTGCAAGATTCATTACTAGATCATAAATCTAATAAAATTTCATCCCTGTTACAAATCCCCAAGTCTTAAGACTGCTGCCATCAGAGAAGCACTGTGCATCTTTGGAGTGGTGCTTGTAGTGGGAGTAAGGCCAGAACCAGAGGACAAAGAGGTTTCAAAGCTGGCAGGTTCAGAGGACTATGAGGATTCCCAAGTTATCAGTTATTATTCCTGCTCCACCCAGATGCTCTGCTTTTTGAACACACAAAGCAGCAGAGTCTGTTAACTGTCGTACACTTGCACGTAACTGCTTGGGCATGGTTTTATTGCAGCTCCACCTCCTAGACAAACAAAGTTCTAGAATAGAGTAGTTTGTCTTGCTGGACAGCATGACTTCTCGCTTTAAAAACCCAGCAGAATTTTAAAGCCGCTATGCTGAGCACAGTGCAGAGTTCCAGTGAAGACAAAAAGGGTTACAGAGAAATTGTCACCCGGCAGGAAGGTCTCATCAGCACCCGAGGTGTAATGGTGGAATCTTAACACAGAATTGTGACTGTTTGTGAAAGGGTAAGAATCCCAGCAAAAGTTAAATTATAAGCCAGTATGGCTCACTGCTAATTACGTCATTAATTCGGCTTCCTAGCAGCCACTCCTCTGTGAGGTAGGTTGGGTAACATACAAGAGTCACTAAGTACCTCTGCCCCTGCGCACTCCTTGTGCTGGTGGCATGGTACTGCTGTGCTGGACATGGAAGATTCAGTTCAGGTCTGACTGTATTCTGTCTTTCACTGAATACCTCTGACTGCCTGATAATTCTCTCTATCCTGCTTTAAAGCGTTACTTTGTACTTCAAAAGTAATTAATTTTCAATGGGATTCAGATAATATCAGGATTTCCCCTTAAAGGTATTTGTTAATGACTGGAAGAAAGGTGACTTCCAGGCACCAGGTAAGATCTCTGGAGATGCAGATTTAGTTCCCTGTGCTCCTTCTGTAACCACAGTCAGAAATAATTTATTCTGGGTTTATATCCTCCCTTTTCCCAAGTGGGAAAAGGAATAGCCAGAGAATTAGAGGGAGGACTATTTTAACAGTAAGCTCCCTTGAATGAAGGCCACTCAGGAGGCGTGATGCAAACACAAAGGGGGTCTCAGATACCCAGACCCAAAAGCTTCACTACAGCTCTGATATGGTCATTCCCTAACACACTGCTGCTTAGACCTTCCCTCCTACCTCCATTTTAGAAGTTCTGCCTGAATTTTGTCTTTCAGCAGTAATTCAGCCCTCACCTCTGCTAGTCAAGTCCTTATGGTGAGTCTGCCATTCCTCTCTTCTCCAAAGCCCCTATATATTTCTTGCCCTCTGAACCAGACATGTTTTCTCAGCTATTAACATTATTGTGCAGATCTCTTGATTTTAAATTCTGACCACTACAAGAGCTTCAGCGTTATGAAGTTTTTCTGTATTGCCCCTTGAAAGTGGAAGGCTGGAGATTCATAGGAACCAATTCACTTCCTAGGAACAATGGCAGCAGCTGTGTCCTCTGGATCCACAGGCTAACTAAAAATGACCCCAGCGACAATGTAGGAAAAAATGGCTCGGAGAAGAGGCCAATAAACAGCCTGCCTACATTCGGCCCAATAGTTTCTGCAAACATGAGCAGCAGTGTAGTCTGGGCGTACTCCTGAAGAGCTCAGGTGAACACAACATGTATGTCTGAAAACTTGCACTTCAATATATTCCATACGCATATCATGCAGTTGTACTACAGATTTAAAACAGGCACCTAGAATACGAGTATTCTTTGACAATTAAGATGATTAATCAAAATACCCAGCAGTAAATTTTAAAGAAGATCCTACACACCATATGCTGGAGGCAGGCAGCCCAGCCATGGCTGGCAAGCTGCTGGCCAGCATCAGGTGGTGGAGCAGTTGTTTGTTCAGCAAGGGTACCTGTTCAGCGCCTTCCCACAGAGTATGGTGGTAGCTCATTTTGAATGAGGAGGTCACAAGAGATGACCAGTGGCTTGCACTGGAGTGTGTCACCCCGGATCAGCAGTAGGACAGTGATTCACACCCACATGAAGTGTTTCTTGGCTCTGCTTGGCTTTGTGTCCAGCAGCACCTTGTGCAGGAAGGCAGGCACCACTTGCACTACTGGCAAGGTCCCTGTGCTCTGGGCAGGGCAACTGTATGAAATGTTCAGAAACACTGGAGAAGAGAAGGTAAAGTGCAGTAAGGAATGGAGAAAAGAGAAAATTTAATGAATGCAGTTAGAGGGAAGACTTCTGAAGGATTTCCTTATGGAAAAGACAAGGAAATTTGTTCCCATTTTGCTATCATGTGGCAGGAAAGAATTTTAAAAGCAGTTTCTCTTGTATAATGGATCCACAAAAGTTTCCCAACAAAAACATCTCATTTGTTGTAATTTCTTTCAGCATCTCCATATGTAAAACAGAATTATCTCCTTATCTGCCAGAAAATCTGGGTGGTGGGAGGCTAGAAAGTAATTGGGGTTTAATGCAGATTCCCTTTTAAATGCAATATCATATAAGGAGTGGCTGAGGAAGCTGCTGTTTGTTTAGCCTGGAAAAAAGGAGGCTCAGGGGAGACTTTATCACTGTCCACAACTACCTGAAAGGATGTTGTAGCAAGGTGGGGGTTGCCCTTTTCTCCCAGGCAACCAGCAACAGGACAAGAGGAAATGGCCTCAAGCTGTTTCACAGGAGGTTCAAGTTGGATATCAGGAAGAATTTCTTTGCTGAAAAAGTTCTCAAGCATTGAAACAGGCTGGCCAGGGAAGTGGTGAAGTCACCATCCCTGGAACTGTTCAAGAAATGACTTGATGTGGCACTAAGTGCTATGGTTTAGTTGATATGGTGATATTCAGTCCAAGTTTGGACTCAATGATCTTGGAGATCTTTTCTAACCTTAAGGATTCTATGGTTCTATGATTTTATATCTATTAAGTATGTTTGAGGCTGGAAGAGTCACCCTTTTTGTCAGATTCTGGGTGCAGTACGAAACCTGAGGATGGCAGTTTCCAGATAGCAAGTGTTGCAGCCAGATCATAGATTTCCTTAAAAGAGGATGACACTGTGCCAAAGTATTCCTAAATCCTGCTTCTCAAACTCTCCATATTGTACTGTAGATGGTCCCTTTCCTTCAGTTCCTCCCACCCTTCCTCCTTACAGATCTCAGCTGTAAGTCTTAACTCATTGCTAGTTTGTGAATAGGAGTTATCAGGGAAGGATAACAAGAGATCACAAAGTCTGCAAGACAATTACTAGGCATTTAGCACCTGGTATATTGAGGTTTTTCTTCTAATAAGTCAAGGTCGTAGGGTAAGAAATCACATCTTTTAGACTGAAACTTTGCTTCTGGTTTTGTGCTTGTAAAGCACATTGACAGGACCCCAATCCTACTCCATCATATCTGATAGGCACAAAAGTTAAACCCAGCCTAGTATTTCAGCACAGTTGTTATAGACTCTTTGTCCTGGGGCTATACAGAAACTAGAGATCCTTACAACATGAAACTGTAGAATTATGTTTAGAATTCTAGAAGGCATATTACAGGAGTTCCATCTGCAGTCCTATAACCCCACCAGGGGCTGGGGGGCACTCAAGCCAGCCCTCCTGGCCATTGCAGGGTTAATGAAATCTGCAATTCAAACCCAGCACATCTACCATGTTTTCCAGTCTTGTCTGTCCAATAAATCTGGTTTCATACCATGACTTTTCCTTTTCCCACAAGCTTAATGAGTAACTAGTTTGCCTCCGGTAACACTGGCACTTTTATTGCAGCTTCTAGGATCAGTACTGAGTTCCTCCTCCTTCTCCCATCTCCTGTCTCCATAAGTATATTCAATCCTTCATATAATGAAGAATGGATCTTTTTTACTCATTTGGTAAATAATGCAATGTTTTATAGTTACAAGGCTTCATGCGAAGACTAAACTAGTTCTAAGTCTATAGGGGTGTTTTTTTAGAGCAGGTCCTTCATTACCATGTTAAATTTCATGGTCTCTTGTGTAATCTCTAATTATACTAGAGGGACAATTTCTTACTGCACACCCATGTCACTCATCTTTAATATCCATAAGCCTATGAGGGCAGCCTAATCCTTCCTCTTTCAAATCTGCCATATTCCTAGGATAAAGGTCTTTCCAGCAGCAAACACATTACTCAGAATGTTCTGAATGACACACCTGTAACAAAGGACAAAGCTGAATTTACTTTCCCGATAAGCAAGCTGAAGAGCTAATTACTTTCCAAGATTAAGATCCAGTTATTCTCTAATCCCATTTCTCCCCTGCTCTCAATCATGCAGGAACCAAATAAAGATCTTTATTCCACTTTCTACTTGTCAATGATTAAAAATAAAAATAGCCTCGCTGAGAGGTCATCCATATTACACAATTCAATTATTACAAGTTCAAGTGCCTAAAAGACAAGATCTGAAAAAAACTAGACCTTTGCAGAGTGAAGAATTTCCTGGGAGGTTAAGCAGTGTAGAGCAAGGTGAGGTTTCTTACCTGTTATGAACTTCAAGGTTGAAAGCTAACCAGCAAGAATCTGCTTCCTTATTTCTTTCCACCAAAGAGGTGGAGATTTTTTTTTCTCATTTCGCAGAAAAGAGTAATCAACTTATTGTAATGGACAAAGGATTTTCTACAGTAACTGTTTTGCCAAAGAATTTTCACTTTTTAATAGAATTTTTAACTGTAATTAATCACAGTTTTCAATATAGTTCTAGAAGGCAACAGTGATTGACAAGTCTGGTGTGTCCTCCACCAGCAGAACAAGCCTCTCTTTCTCCAAAGAGGAAAACACACATGAACATAAGCCCATGAAATTCAACGAGTAGCTCTATCTTCTTTACACGGTTGGGCAGATACTTCCAGCTGCTGCACTGCCTCAAGGAATTAGGCTGCACTATTTGTGGTGTGGATGGAGAAGAGCTTTTCAGGTCTCAATCAGGTCTGGAGCAACAGTCCCAGCAAGTTCAATTAGTCACTCACCTCCCTTGTGCAAGCTACAGAGCTAACCTTCTTCTCTTCCTCTATTTACATTTCGGTAATCTAAGGATCTAAGCCTATCTGACAAGTTTGAACATTTGAAACTAAAGCTAAGCCCATGCACTTCCCAGCTGAACTATCAGGTGTATCAGTGATGGAAGTGCCTGACAGGAGAACTTCACATCTGAGTGTGGGCTGCTGTACCAGCTGCTCTGTGCCTCGCCAGGAACAGGCAGCTTCTCCAGGACAGACCTCCAGCAGCAAAGGTGGTGAATGAAATCAGAACTGCAGGCACTATAGAGGCTTCTCACTCTCTTCTACACAAGAAAATCTCCTCTTGATTTGAATCTCCTCTCAGACGGCATTTCTGTGATGAAGAACATTACTCCATACAGCAGGGTTTGCCTGGATATACCATCATACAAGTTGTACATGCTATTCAGTAGTGGGGAGGTCACAGCTACTGAACCTCAGACTCCCCAGCTCTACCTCCACCTCATGAGGATATTGCAGTAGTAGTTCCCAACTTTGCATCAGCCCAAAGACAGAAGATGTTTCCTTCCTACTATGCCAGAGAATTTATATGCAGGAGTAATAATCCGAAGTCACGTACCTCTAACACTGTGAGCACCTGCTGAGGAACCCTTGTATTAAAATGCACAAGAGCAGCTACATACCTGGAGGGAGATTGAAAAGCTTTCCTAGACACCTGGGCTTTGCAAATTTGATTCCCACAGCTGATAAAACATGCGCAAAAAGGGGTTTGCCTTTCAAAGGAGGAAAGCCACAGCACTTTCCCAATGACAGACCAGGCCTCCAGTTCCTGTGGGTGGGGCAGCAGAGCTAAAACGAGTCATGGAGAGCAGGGCTTTGTTTTCTAGTGCCATTTGTGTCAGGCCGGAACATGCCCCAATCTTATGTCATCTCAAAAATAGAAAAGCTTCTCTTTGATGTTAATCAAGCAATATAGGTAGCAGATTGATTATTAGACAAATTTCAACTAGTAATTGCCACCTGCCTCCCTTCAGATGGGCCTTTAAACTTTCAGAGTTGCAACTTCTTGGCTGAGAGATGTAAATGGAGAAATTTAGAGCCTTGTTGGAGGATTTTATAATGGAAAAAGTATTTCTCAAGCCCTCTGAGGGTCAGATGTTCTAGTTTGCATCAAATAAACTAAATATTACAGCAGTTTGACAGCCATTTTTCTCAATCTCTGGCTTAAAATTAATTAGAAACAAATCCAAAAAGCTTTCTTCTTTTTTTTCCTTTTTTTTTCTTAAATTGATCAATTGCTATGATTTGGAGTGTTTTCTTTGGGGCAGTTTAGCAGCTTTTATAAAAATCTAACTCATGCATACTTATGCCATACTTACCATGGGCAATCTGCATCCAGGAATGCTGGGGAAGTCATGATGCTCCATGTGGTATCCTACATTAAAGGTGAGCCAGTTCAGAGGTCCATAATAAGAGTATGTCTCATACCCTTTTAAGAACATGTAGTGTTCTGCTATGAAGTGCCCAGAAATGGGATGTACACCCAAGCAAAGAAGTGTACCTGCTATTAAATAAATAACAGGTTTGAGTCCCCAAAGGTAGTAAATGATAAGGTCTACAGAAAACTGTACAAGAGCATTGAAAATTTCCATCTGTGTAATCGCTTTGGGGTTCACATACAGTGGCCTCAGACTGTAGAACAGAGGTTGGAGGAAAAGCCAAAGCAGTTTCCGAAGGGGTGTACAGAAAAACCAGCCTTCAAAGTCCGTGGGAATGTCCACATCCAAGCTGTCCCCTCCCAGGTACCGGTGATGGTCAATGTGGTATTTCTTGAAGGAGGCAGAGTAAGGGGCACCAATCGGCAAGTTGGCAAAGACTGCGAACCATCGGTTCCACTTGGCCTGCTTGTTCCCAAAGGCGACGTTGTGTGAAATATCATGGATGGCTAAGGTCAGCGAATGGTTGATGCAACCCCCAAAACCATAAGCCCAGAAGAAAATCCATTTCCAAGATAAGTCTTTCACCAGGTAGCATGCCAGAAGCTGCGTGAAAACCATTCCAGATACAATCCACTTTAAATGTGGATCAGGTCCCATCAGAGTCTTGATCTCTGGATACTTTGCTAAAGGAAAAAATGCAGAGAAAAACTTCAGTAGATCACGGTTAGGTAAACACAATCACCACTGGGACTCTCTGGTTTTATCACATTATATTTGAGGCTCTAGTTTTATACAATGGTAATTCCAAAGTAGGGTTGCCACTACACTGAAGGCTTTACTAACATATGGGCTCCATTCTCACTTCCAGCATCATGTCCAATTGTGATTGATATCAATATACATAGATATATATAGACATATTAAAAAAAATATCCTGATGGTCAATCTGTGGCATCATGTGCCTTCACCACAATGAGTACTGCTTCACATTATTAGTATGCGAAAACCCGCATGATTTGAGTGCTAAGAAGCATCTTCTGTCAAGTTTTTTATTTCCTTTTGTATTTTGCTCAAATCAGATGTTTTTTTCCACAAAAGGGATACAACTGCCTTCTTCATAGCCCTTTTCACACTGCAGCTTCAAACATATTAGCAGAGGAAAGAGAGCCGAGCAACAGGCTCGCCAGGTTTTGCTCTGTGGTTAGATGACAAACGCAGCATTTTAAAAAAAATTCCTAATTATTTGAGTGTTTACCAGTGCTCACAACACGTACAACTCTTCACACATGGTAACATCACAATAAAGTCAGTAATATTATCAGGATTTTATAAGACACAGAAAATTTTTCTCTGTTCCCATTCCTCGGCCTGTTCCGAAGTCACATACCAAAAGCAGGCATAAAAGCCACAAGATAATCACACAGCAGCTTCATGAGGCCTCACAACTACTGCAGTGTCAGAGAGACATGGGCTAGGCTTGCCAGGTCTGACTCACATCAGGCCAGGACTAGCTTACTTATCTTTGGTTCCAGCAGCCGTTCATCTTCCTTTTAAAAGAAAGAAAATACAGAGTACAGCTTATCCTCTAGGTGCTGTTCATTGATACACATCTCCTCTTTACAAATCTGCACTTCTCACTTCTAATATTAACTTGCACATAATTTTTTCCACTGTTTTATGGCTTTTACCTACCTACTGACCTCCCTCCTTTAACTCATACTCTGCATTTCTCAACAATTACAGCTTACACAGATAAATGCATAGACAAGTCACTCGCTCTGAACCCTAAGGTTACACAGTGTGTCCTGTAAGTTTGATAGGTCTGTTTTATGAATAGAAAAGTAAACATCGTCTGAGTGTCACAGTATAACACCAGTGCAATAAAATCAGATTACAATGACCAGCATCTATACAGCTGTATATGCTATAAACAATGCTGGAGACAATACACGTAGTTTATATGACCTTGAAAGCAGTGGCAGGTGTGGAGTGCTGAATGCAGAGAAGGCTTTTGTAAAAGTGAACCCTGAGAAGTTTGCTGAAGTTTCAGAGAGATGAAGTACTACTTAAGGAAGCAGATTCATGTGGTCATGCTCTGCAACCATTCCAACAACATTTGAGCCTGTTGGCCAGCTTCAGCTCAGCTTGACAGAGGTTAGGGACGATAAAGACTGGACAAGTGCTGTGGAAGATGGCGAGAAAAGAGATATTCCCAATTCTTCCTGTGAGGACAAGGGGGCCAATTCACCATGAGGAGTATTCAGGAAAAAGAGAGATTTTTCTAAGTGGTGGGAAATCTCTAATCAAACTTCACATATTTCTAAAGTCAGTCAAATTTTTCTGATAAAAATCTCTGGCAAGTCCAAAGTGTTTCTGTTTTGCTGTTTTGCTTTTGTTCTTCTTTTCACAGTTTTTTTGAAATTACAGTTTTCACACTAGAAAAATTAACATGCTAAAAATTGTTCCCTGGTACCTGAAAATGTACCAAAATTCTACATGAAGTGCTGCTTATTCAAAGTCCACTCTAAAGAATAACTTGATATAATGACCTGGTCAGAAAGACTGTTAAAGATATGCAATTTTATGTAGCTTAATCTCCTGCTTAGGGGCCTCTGTCCAGAACCCAGAAAACTCCTTAATAAATCAAACCACGTCAAATGTTCAGTTGCACAGCTGGTAGATGTAAGTTACTGAAGTGAAAAAAAGAGATGAGGAAATGTAAAACAACCAGATCTGTTGGTCAGCTTGGTCAAATTAAGGCTATATGGTCTTAAACTCTACCAGGGGAGATTTAGGTTGGATATTAGGAAGAAATTCTTTACAGAGAGGGTAATCAGGCATTGGAATGGGCTGACCAGGGAAATGGTGGAATCTCCATCCCTGGAGGTTTTTAAGATGAGACTGGATGTGGCACTTAGTGCCGTGGTCTAGTAACTGCGGTGGTAGTGGATCAAGGGTTGGACTTTATGATCTCAGAGGTCCTTTCCAACCCAGCTGATTCTATGATTCTATATTGACCAAAAAAAAAAAAATTAATGGGATGGGAAAAGTGCTTAGAGATGCTTTATATTGTCATTTGAGAATAATGGAAGTTTTTGACCTATTTCTTTCTGTGGCAGTCAACAAGGACCACAGATTCCATTTAAGAGGTTTCAGAGTAGTTGCTGCCAACAGGCAGCAACAGTGTGTGCAGGCAGCAATGCAGGCAGGTTGCATTTGTCACAGGTGACAGCTATTAAGTAGCTTGCTAGGGTTTAATATTAAATTCAACACATGATTAACTCCTCTCCAACAGTAAATCTTTGCATACTAGTCAAACCACCATAGTGTGGCTATTTATCATTAATACTGATAAACCTGTCCCATTTCCATGGCGTGGAGAGACCTCAGGTTTCTCCCCATGAAGAAATCGTGGCTTGGGCAGGGGTGTGGTGCTGGAAAGCTCACTGGAGGCTAAAAGCCCTGCTGGTGGAGTAGCCTGCCAAAGATCTGTTCATTCAGAAGTGCTTCAAATGCAGAATGTTGAATACTGACCCTGTATAGACTTGAGGCCAAGCACTCCTCAGTGAGACACATTTAGTCTCAGATTAAGTGATCCTGATGACTGCAGTTTATGTATAACATACTGACACAAAGATGTGATAACACAAATATTTATCTCCTTTTTCCCTCACATTCATCCCTTGCAGTTAGCTGAAAGACTGTAGGTGCTGTACAAACCAGACATAGCCCATCTGCAGGTCAAAAAGGAAATAGAGAATCAGAGGCAGGGTTACTGGCAGTGCTGAACCAGGAGGCACAAAGGACTATCAGACCTCTGGCAGCTGGCCGGTAAAGACCACCTTTGTTTTCTACACATGGCACTTTGCAGAGTAAACAGACACCTACTCCCCACTCTTGAGACTGCTAGAGTTTCACACTAGGAAGCATCTGAACTGAGCTTCTCATCATGCTGCTCTTTCCTGAATTGCTTCCATTTTGGTCTTCCTGAGCACTTTTCCATTCTAAGAATGATGAGCTTCTATATGGCCAGAGTCCATTGCTTCCCAACAAGCACCGTGGCAGGGCTAAAACGTGATGTAATCTAGAGCTAACTCTTCCTTATGCAAAATCATGGCATGGAGAGGGCACAGAAAGAGGATAAAAAAAACAACTTCATGATTCAGCCCTTCTAGATAAGGCAGTTGGGGTTCATGTGTGGACACATGACATGGGACAGGGCATGACACCCACAAATTTATATGACTATATGGGACCAGGTTTTGCCCTTTAGAGTTCAATGAGAACAGCATAACTCCAGCTACACTAGTGTCTACACGGCACATTTTTCAGCCTCTGGCTTATTGAGAAAGTCCATTAGCTCAGCCTGGCAGAGAGTTTATCCACGTGTGCTGCTTCTAGTTGTCCAGACAGATCCATTGTACTGCCTTTTGGAGGGTGGGGATACTGGTGTAGATATACAGCAGGACTTTTCTGTCTCCCAGATGTCAGCACACTGCAAAAGCAGCATGGGAACTTCAGTAGAGAAGGTAAGTGTAGTTAATAATTCTGCTCAGCCACCTCCACAGTCTCTATACATAACCTCAGAGCAGCTGAAAGCTGCTCCACGATGATGAAAGACATTTCCCACTTGTACAACAGTGTGGATGAAAGAACAGCAGTCAAGAGAATAAATGCTGCAAGAATATTTTCAGAAGCATTCACAATTCTGAAACAACCCATTTACTGAATTAACATTTCAGAGAGATCACTCCACTGTTGTGTGTAAGCATCAGTCACCTTTCTAGAGGCAGGCTGCACAAGTTTCTAAACTGACAAATTAGTCTGACTTCATATTTTTAACTTGATGCTTTTCTCTGGAGATCCAGCAGCACTCACCATAGCCCTACTGTGATCCTCAGTTAGTGCTGGATCAGTCGTTCCTGGAAAGGCCATTGGTTGCCAGGTCCTGGTGTTCCTCCTCTTCAGGAGACAGCAAATATCTTGTTCTGAACCCTCACTCAACCTCCATGCTGCTACTGACACTGTTCCTGAGATAACCCAGAAGAGCCCCAGTGATGGTACCAAACACGGTTTCTTGTTGATGTGACACCACATACTTTATACTTGCACATTTTGGCATACATGGGATTTGGAAGTGAACAAGAGCAGGAGCTTTCCTTAAAGACAGTGGTAGAGGTTTAAAGGAGCAGCAGCCTTGCCTACATCCACAAGAAGCTAGTAATAACAACAGAAGAAATTTAAATTTCTTGATTTTCCTTTATTTTGACTGCAAGTGCAACATACAGATATAGTCAAAGCGGAGATACCGTTCAGTATAAGGCACTTAGGAGGTCTGTTAAAGAGAAGAGGGAAAAAAAAAATCTCTGTGACACTGCTGTCCTGGACTATGTTCTGTTGACTATGAGTCTCTGCCAGAACAAATAAGAGACACCAGGCACAGGATGTAAGCTTTACTACCCCATGTCCTATACTGGAGCTGATATTGTACCAAAAAATTTAACAAACCAAAAGAAGACAGTTTACTGACAGGATCATGTTTTGCCTCATAACAGCTCAGCTTGTGAACATGCTCATAAACAGCACAGCACACCTGAGTCCTCAGTGAAAGACATAGAACTGTTGGAGCAGGTCCAGAGGAGGGCTACAAAAATTGTCAGGAGGCTGGAGAACCTCTCCTGCAAGGAAAAGCTGAGAGAGTTAAGAATTGAGGCTCTACCACCCAGAGAGGTGAAAGCTCTAGGAAGACCTTATTGCCTTTTAATATTTAAAGAGGGCTTATAAGAACTATAGGGACTGACTTTTTAGTAGGGTTTGTTGCAATAGGATGAGGGTTTTGAACTAGAAGAGGAGAGATTCAGTCTAGACATGAAGAAGAAATTTTTTACAATGAGGGCAGTGAAACCCTGGCATAGGCTGCCCAGGGAGGTGGTGGATGCCCTATCCTAGGAAACATTCAAGGCCAGGTTGAATGGGGCTCTGAGCAACCTGATCTAGTTGAAGACGTCCCTGCTCATTGCAAGGGGGTTGGACTAGGTGACTTTTAAAGGTCCTTTCCAACTGAAACTATGCTATGATTAATTCAAACCATACATGGGCCAAGACACAGGACACACAGAGGACAACAGGCATGACAAAAGTTTCTGGTTCTGCACAGTCTCCTACTCCATCCAGTAGGCAAACTAATAAGAAACCTTTTTGCCCAGCTAATTACACTGAAGTGTAATATATTTTTATATATCCACTGTGTAAGGACAAATGTCTTAATCCTGTACTTGCCAACCACAAGCCTCTGAATTGCTCAGTGCTGGCTGGTCCAAGGGAGAGGGCTCACTCAGAAGTGCCACCAGAGGGAAAGTACCCAGTGGTGCCACATTGCTGGTGTCAACAGAGATGGATGATGTCAGCACATCACTATGACAGCACATCACTATGACAGCACATCACTATGACAGCACATCACTATGACAGCAGCTATAACCTTGCTTATACTTGTTTGTGAGCTAGTTCAGAGGAAAGGGATGTAGGAATGCTAGGAAGAGGACTTCCAGCTGCCTCTGAAACAAAAACCTGCAATATGGAGTAGGCTGAAGCCTTTGGTTGCACTTAATACATTTTCAACAGAAGACCACAAATGCCTAAACCAGTGACTTTCTGCTCATGTGATTTATTTCATAGGTGATGCCCACAGGCAATTGGCATGAGCACCGAGATAGCAGCTATTCTGGATGTGCTCGTCAGAGAACAAGCACATCAGTGGCAGCACTAAGCCCACATACTGCAGAATAAAGGGAAAACAAACTCATAGTTTCTTTGCCAGAAGCACATGTAATTCAGAGCTTTGATTTAAGCTAAGGAGAGATGCATATGCATATTTCAGCAGGTACAATTTATCAGAATTTTCATAAATGTGAGGTTTAAATAGGCAACAGAAGAGACAGCTGAAAGAAATAGCAGATTAAATAAGAAGGCAGAGCTGGAAGCTATACTCAGACCAGATAACTGCTAAAATAAAATGTATTTTTTGTTTTTTGTTGTGTTCTACCCCTCCTCATAGGCTAACATCTCAGCCTTCCTACAGAATAAAGCACATATAAAATGCTTGCACCATCTCCACTCCAAAATAACTTGGTAAAGAATTAATTATATAATTATTAATTATTCTTATATGTTAGATCATATTCAGATGCTCCTGGTCTACCCTGAGCAACAAGTGCTTCCCTAAGGATCCTGTGAGGCAAGACATTTTCTGACCAACCTACAGTAATTTTAAAAAGTTAGATCCAACCCATGGCACAAATATGATCCACGCTTCCCATATCACAACATACTGCTCATTGCTTGCATTTGGGAAACTGTTTGCAGGTGAAATAATCATGCATATTGTGCTTATGGTGTTACCTGCATCTGAGCAATGCTTTTTTTCATCTCTCAAGAGGGACAAACCACCAATACTTCCCACTGTGCAAGACTATAGTTCTTCAAGTGTTTTAATCAAAAAAATTTTTACTGACACTAAAGTAGAAATCCTATTTCTACTAGAAGTAGATATCCCCTCCATGTTGTACCCTATGTTATATCTCCCTCTAATAGCATTTTTGTAACTGTACAGAAAGGCTAAGCAGATCTAGATAAAAAAACCTTACTTCCATCAGGAAGTTTTTAGCCAGGTCTTTCCCTAACAGAGCTCACTGCAGCATTACACAAATCTCAGTCCTGACACTAGGCAGTAACAGGCTTTTCATAACCAAGAGGGCGAGAGAATAGCAATGAAACAGTTCCATTTCATAAACTGAAAGGCGTGAATAACGTGTTCAGGAACACGTACAATGTGATATGGGTCGAAGTGCCAGCTTGGCAAGGGACCTCCCCCGTAACTTAGAAGCAGTTGGCACCTAGACAGTACCAAACACAAGCTACATTTTAATACCTAGATTCTAAGAGTAAGATACGACAAAGAGATAACAGAGAAAGGATTACCTCTGCCTTGCACAAAACCTTCATCTATTTGCTGGTATAATTATAGCCATTAGGAATCACATCTCTGGTAGGTTCATCTAGCGCAACAAAGTCCTGCCATAAGCTACCTCCCAGCCAGCCCAGCTGATAAACACAGCTCATAGCTCTGCAGCTCAACAGGAACAAGGTGCCCACAGAAATTGTGCATGGCCCATCCCTCTTAATTGTTCTAGGTCAGGTTGGATGGGGCTTTTAACAACCTCATCTTGTGAAAGATGTCCCTGCCCTTGGCAGGGAGATTGGACTCACAGTTCTCCTTCAGACACATTGTCACTTACTACAAAAGTCTTACAGACACCTAGGCTACTAAGTCACAACTTTGTGATGGACCATTTGTACTTCTCAGTTGTTCTATCGGAACATTGAGGCAACAGCCCAAGGAAAGGAACGTGTTTGTCAGTTTGCTCATTTTTTTTTCTTAACAGATAATTTCCACTTGCATTTAAATCCAAGTAGCCATGTCTGAGAGAGACCAACATTTCAGAAAGCTGCAGCATAAACAGAGAACAATCAAGTTTCAGTGCTTAGCAACTGAATCATTAACCTATCTGGAGGGAAATACTTCCTTTACCAGCATGGAATGTTGTCCCCAAGGCATTGCTGTATAAAACAACAGAAAATACATGGACTTTTACAGATATTTGTTCATATGCATGTAAGATTCTTACAGTGTTCTCCAGCTCAATAGACACTAGACATTTTGATAAGTACATACTTTGGGTACTAGGGGTTTGCTGATCCTCAGGCTTTGAAAATACAGTGAGGATCATGACACTAGCATCATACAGGATACCATGACAGCTTCAGTAACTTTTGGTAACATTTTGGTATCATGACACTACATTTTTCATGTCTCTCTTCCCATGTTGTATTTCTCTATTCCCTTCCTTCTGCTCCCACAGCTGGGGCAGCGGGGGCTGCAAAGATGGACCTTGATTCCAATCACTTGTTCTGAACCCAAAGGGGAGGTGGGTAAAACCTCTGCAAGTGTGCAGTTGAAAGATCCTAAAAAGAGTTTGTTGCAGCAAGGGTAAGGGAGCCCAAGCACTCTTTACATAATACAACTTCATGGTGGTCTGCAGTCCCCATTCTACAGCACAACCAGAAAGGCAAGAGATTAGTAAGGGTAGAGACCCACCACAGATACTTCTACCCACAGCTCACCAAAATGTAGTGCCCTTGACTAAAAGGATGAGTAGGACATCAAGAAGCATCATTTTCTATAATGATATACCTTGATCACACAGTAAAATAACTATTATTTTCCTGGGTGTAATTCAAACCTGTACCAGGATATTCCACCAGTGCAACTATACCGGAAATGTTTTTGTAATTTAGATTAATCCTGGATTAATCTATAAGATTGTAGAGGAGTTAAAAAACTGCACCTAATTAGCATATACCCTATGCATGCGTACCCTGAGCTGCTACTCAGCCACAAGTTTTCCAGTGCCCTTCTTTATAAAACTACTTTAAAAACTTTACCTTATTCATTAGAGGGGGAAAAAACCAGGACAACCAACCCACCCAAATAAAAACTGAGGAAAAAATAAAAATTTTATTTATTAATAAAAGGTTGGACATGTATTTTCAGGATATACACAACAATACTCTGCAACAATTCTGAATTATCAATTCTTCTCTGAAACGATCTTCAGAATAGCCCAAAGCAGAATAAACCTCCCGATCCAACACACTCCTGTGCGCAGTTAACACGAAAATACAGACATGCACCTTGTCCCTGACAAGCAGCGGGGGACTCGCCACTGTTATCTACCAAACCTCACCCACATCCCCGTTGACTTTATTGCACTCCCAAGACACTGGGAACAAGTGCCTTCGGGAGGGCTCCCAGCCCGCAGTCCGGGCAGACTGGGGAGGGCTGGCGCCCGCCGGGATCCCCCGACGGCAGCCGGGGCGCGGTGCGGGCAGGTGGGCGCAGCTCTGCCGCCCCGGTGAGCCGGCTCACCGCTGCCTCCGGAAGGCAGAGAGTCGGGGGAGAGCAGCACCCCTCGGGGGAAACACCCCTCCGAGCCCACCGGGCCGCGGCTCTCCACAGTCTGGACACCCGCCCCGAGCCGATCTCGGCACCGACACAGGCGGACCCGGCGCGGACCCCCCGCCCCACCCGCCCCGTCTCTCCCCGTCCCGGAGCGCAGCCCTGCCCGCCCCGCCGGCAGCCGCTCCCGAGCGCCCCGGCGTACCCAGGATCTCCTTCCTGCGCTGCGTATGAGGCTGCTCCGTGTAGACCCACTCGAAGTCCTCACGGGTGACGCGGTTCCCCATGGCTCCCGCTGCGCCCCGCGCTGCGCTGCCCTTACAGCGCTGCGCTGCCCTTATAGCTCCGCGCCCAGGGAGGGGCGGCTCCCCTGCCCGCCGCCGCCCTGCAGGTAGGCACTGGGGCTGCGGCTTCGCTCGGGTGTGCAGGAGCCGTGGGAGCTGCACAGCCCTGCCGTGGTGTGCAAGGGAACCCGGGAGAGAGAGGATGCCTCGAGGCTGGCTCTGGGTGCAGCGGACGGGCGGCCGAGGTTCGCTCTGCTGCAGGGACCTCGAAGGCAGCCGGGAGAGGTGTGGGGGGGTGGGCGTGTTCACAGGGCAGCAGGTTCCCCATCGTGCTGCTGCCACCACCGGAGCTCAGCACAGCCACTGCATCAATCCCCGCCTGGGACGGCTTCAGAGCACAAGGGGAACTGCAGCGCTGCAGGTCCCCGGGCACTTCCAGACGCGGCTTTTGGAAAGCAAAGGCAGTCCAAACGCCATAAATCCAGAGATATGGCCCTAAGCAGAACGTGGCTTAGGGCAAAGCCCAGTTGTGTGAGCTCCTCCCAGGGGTGGAAGACCTGGGACGGCACAAATGCGATCAACGCCTGACACACATTTCCTTGCCGCTCTGACAAATCTTCATAAGCTGTCCCGGTAGAATCCTGCCCTTGGCTGTGTCACACTTCACTCCTGCAGCTCTGCGGCCCATTTCCCAGGTACCGTCCCTGCTGGAGTAGCAGGAAATCACACTGCTCCCTTGGTAACAAAGCCAGGCAAACTAGCTAACCTTAAAACTGACATAACCTTACTTACCTCTCTAGCCATTCTGATTCACAGGCAGAGGAGTTACACATATTACATAGTGATGTTTCTACACACACACAACCCAAAATTAAAGTGCTGCCATGTTCCCACTATGTTCTTTTGCAAGTCCATACCTGACCTGCTGTCCATCTTCACTCACTATCTCTGTCATTAGTCCTTCCATCGACAACATCACATATGGATCAGCTGCAATTTTGTTTCATTCTGTTTCAATATGAATGTCTCTAACACCCTTCACAGCCTCCTACCCTTAAAAATGCCTATCACAGCTGGAAGTTAAAAGCGGGGGAAAAGCAGCCTTGAAAATGTGAAATGTCAATATTTTTCAGCAATAATTGTTGCCTACAAACACTTGCAACTTACTTTAGTCTAGTGGAACCATTTAAGATTTTTTGGTAGCACAGTCACATATGGGTTAAAAAACAACAACAACCAAACAATCCACAAACCCAAAACGCCGTAGGAGGCTTTTTTGATTTTTTTTTTTCCCCCCTGAAATGGTCTAAATTTAAACCCCTGAATGAGTAAAGGTCCAAAGCATGTTGAGTGGAAGGACTATGGTGTAAAGGGAAGCAGCTTTACCCACAGCGGAACCAGGATTTTAACCACTTTGCTGTTACAGGTCAGCTCTCTGTAAGTACAATGGTTTCTTCACCATTACTCCAGCACGAGGCTGGTGCTCTCCCACAAAGTTGCAGGGTCCAACTCAGGTAATGGACTATTAATCGAAGTGAAAGATATTATGTGTTTCTAGAAGAAATGGATTGTTCAGAGAGTAAATGCATTGGTATCTCAGCCTAAACCTTTAATCGGCTCAAACATTTTGGCATGTTGACAGTATCGATGGAGAAGCCAAAGACATTATGAACGTGATGACACCCTTCTGTCACTTCCTGCTCAGGAGTGCTCAAGGTGACTAAAAATGTAAATTAGAGGGGCAGTACATGGAGTTACAAAGAAAACAAATATGACTTCATCCCAAAAGTTTGTCCAATAGGATAATGCTATTGCATATTGCAAGTTACGCGTGGAAACTTAAGTATCTCCTTTGTAGGCAACAGCATCTCCTTTATGTAGCTCATTACTATAGACTCAGCCTGACCACATGAGAAGAACAAAAAGCTTTTCTGTCTCCAGTGAGCTGGCATCTGTTTTTGAGAATAGAATTTCACACTTTCTATTTCTATAATAAGCCAAACAAATCATACTAATTCAAGAGTAATTGTGGATGCCAGACAAACAAGAAACACCAGCTTCAGACCGTCTTCTAGAAATGGCAAAAGTATTATCTAGTTCTGAACCTTTGGCATCCTTAGTTTTACAGCATCCTAGTAACAATCATTCACAAAGGAAAAGTAGGGATTTTAACGTCACACAGCAATAACAGCCCTTTTAATGAATACTATAATGACTGTGAACTCTACAGATTCATGCAGTCACTACACTTTATGGCAGTTCAAATGTGCTTCACATGGTCAGTTTCTCTCAGTTGCAGCCTTCCTTTCTTCAACAATTTCCTATACTTGTTCAGGATTTCTAAATATTGGGAAGCCTAGCTGAGAGAAATTTCAAACACACTCAAGGGGAAGAGCACAGTTGCTGACTCTGTGCAGGGTACCATCAAAATATCTTGTTTACATAGTTTTAAGTACGCATCACACTCACCTCCAGCACCCCAGGGTAAAAAAGACAAAAATCCTTTGCTTCACTGAGAACATGACCTAAGATATACAGCTCTGAAGCAAGACATATTGGCCCTCCCTTCCACACACCCAGGCAGACTCACACTTCTCTACCCAAAGCTGCTTTTCCATCATGAATGTATTTCTGCTACGCAACCCAGCTACTTCCTCCTTCTGCTCATTGAATGAACAGGTGACAGAGTAAATAAAGCAGGAACACCTGCACACGTCTCCTAGTGACTACTGCCAGCCTGCAGACCAGGCTTGTGTGTTTGAGGTTATCTTAATTCTGCCCTGGTGTGCAGGCCTTAACTTCTCTTCTTCTGGTTTCCAACGACTAACCTTTGTTAAAGTTGATGTTCTGGAACTGAAATAAAGTTGTCTGGCAATTTTAACTCTAAATAAAGTATTTTCTCTTCTGAATTAAGAGCTCCATATCCCATGACAGACTTATACTTTCAGTTACTGCATTACCTACTTTCTTCTCTGCCTGTATAAACTGGACCTTCCTTCACTACTGGAAGAAAACACAGCTGTGTATTTGCTTGTTTATAAAATATTTTGCAGTCATTTTGAATTGGATGTCGTGCTCTGACTTCATGTAACTAGTGCCAAGGTTTACAACCTGACATACTTTATCAAAGTCAAATTTTCATAGGAAGCATAGTTTGTAGATGAGCCATGTCATCAACACACACTCACACCGAAGTTAGCTTAGGGGAAATAATTTGCCAATAAACCCTACTTGCTGTTTTCCCCTCTCACCTGTGCTGACCCTTCCTGGAGTCATTTTGGATTTCTCTTTCCAGTGGGTTAGCTCTATGCCAGAAGTGTGAGTTGAACTGACCAAACAAAGGTGCTGAGGAGCTGATGCAAAAGAATCTTAGGGGGATAAAAACATGTTTCTTTTGGCACTGGTAGGTTGTTAGATAGACTCGGTTGTATTATGTGTAACCCACCTTTCACACAACACGGCGCGTTCATACCAAGGCTGCCCAACAGCCGCGTTTGCCCAGCGCTGGGCGAGCCGGCTCATGGCATCTCTGCCTGGGAGCTCCCAAAACGAGAAGTGAGGTTCAAAGAAGCAAACAGCTCCCTAGGAGATGGGCTCACTGCTGCCCAGCTTCGCCTCTCCTCCCCTGCCGCCAGCTCTCCCAGCTCCCCGACCTGTGCGGGGCGCGTATCGCTCACTCCTCGCCTCCCGCAGCCGGCCCCGCGGGGCTGCGCACCGTGGGAATGACCACTTCGTAGGCCAGGAGCAGCGGGAAGCGCTCGGCAGAGCAGCACGGGCAGGGCCGGGCACCCGCGGTATCCGCGCCCTTCGCCGTGCAGATGTTGGGGCGGGGGGGCGGCTGCGCGGCTCCACGGCACAGCGGCGCTGCAGCCGGGGCTCGGGGAGCGCCGTCCCACAGCAGTGCCCGCAGCGACCCCGGGCCCGCCCGGGGCGGGGAGCGGAGCCGGGATCCCCCCGGACCAGCGCCCGCCCCGCTCACAGCGCCGCCGCTCCCGCCGCGAGTGCTGCGCGCCCCCTGCCGGCACCGCCGCCACCGGGCTGCCGGCACGGAGGGACATCCCCGGGGGCACGGACAACCCCCGCCCCGCTCCCCCGCCTGCCCCAGGGCAGGGACACCCCCTGGCCTCGCTCCCCCGCCTGCCCCAGGACAGGGACATCCCCCAGCCCCGCTCTTCGGGAGTGGCCGCTCCCTTGGCCTCGGCTCCGTCCTCGCTATGCCTCGGAGAGCGACTTTCTGCTGTTTTCTTTCATCCCAGCAAGCCCGACCGTCCCTCTGACGTAAGGGCAGTCAAGGGAAGGATGGCTGAGGAAGCGCTCACTTCGCTGGGTTTGGTAGCTTCCAAGTGTTCCCGATTCCTTTAGAAATATGTTCTTAAGGAATTTAAAAATGTTTTTCAAAAATATTTTGTCTGAAGACTGACAAATGCAGCGCTGCTGTAACTAACGACACCGCTGTGATCCGGTACACAACGTATTTAGACAGACCGCTCCCGCAGAATTCACATGGAAACAATTTCCTCTTCTACATAAATATTTTTTTCTCGTAATACATTTGACCCTCCTTTTCAGCTTTTCAAAAGAATCGCAATCTTTCTGCAAAGTAATTTATTCCACGGAGTGCTTTATGTTGTTCAGAGGATTTCCAATTGCTTTCTCTCACGAGACGTATTTGCTGTTACACATCGTAAGTACTTATCCCATGGATAGGCTTATGCTGCCCTCCCTGCAATCTTGGCATTTCAGGAACAGTTTTACTAGGATCCTGGTACAAACACCTGAATGGATTGTGGTAACTAGACTTCTATTCCACAGCAAAAATGTTATAGGCAAAAAGCAGCAACGCTTGTAATCTCCTATCCAAATGTGAGCATCTAAGGGGTTCACTGTCGACAAGTGTCAGGATTATGAGAGAATTTGGGTCCTGTGAAGAAAGGCACCAGATTAAACTGGGATTTCTATCTTATCCTCTAAGCATTGATGCAACTCTTCTCTAAAAGCCCCCACTACTGTACATTGCTGGTCTGGCACTGC